TGTAAACATATACTTTTAACACGCTCATATAATTGAGCTATTACTCCATATATATTATATTATTTTTTTATTTGAAATTATGTACAGTAATATTATAATTTATCTATTTTTCACATTGAAAAATAAAGAGGTACATTATTAATTTACTTGTAAGAAAACAAAGATGTTTTCGTAAATAGTATTCAAACTTTTTGACAAAATGTAAGTATCATATATAAACGAATAATGTCGGTACGAAGTAATTCATGTGAAAACCATTACCTTAACCAAAATCGTCTTTCATATTAATATTAGGTATTATTATTATACATAAAATCACAAGCTCTTTGTACATGCCATTCTTGGATAATTTCCAATTTTTTTTCATGTCTATAGGTATACTGCAGTTGTTTAAACCAAACGTTTAATCCGAACACTCTACAGCTACGTAGTAACTAAAACTTACTGAAGTAAGGTCACTATAAACTAAAAACTCGTTTTTGTTGCTTGTCGAAGACTGACAAAGATTACAATATTTTTTATATATATGTTTAATACGTTTTGTGTGTGTGCAACGATTCAATATAAAATTGTTAGTACCTACCATATATTTACCGTGGAATATAGTCGAACCATCTATAATATGTATCTAATCCATCCATGAACATATTATTAGTTACTATAAATAAACGTTTTGTCATGAATTTTGAATATATCTTTAAAGGATTAAGCATATTATTATTATTTGAAGTATAACAAAACCTCTATTATAATCAACATTCCAAGTAGGTATTGCTTTAATGAATGTGATTATGATAATTATCTACTATATAAACACATTAAATAACGTACAACAGGAAAGAAGAGTAAATATAATTTTGTAACTATAATTTTCAGTTAACATTTTCTTATTTTAATAAAGAGAACAGACATCGGTTTTCCTTAAAAATCTTAAAACAGTTATAATAATAATATAATATGTTTATAATGTGATGGTGTCTTTAATCCATAAAACGAGGATTTACTTGAATAAAACAACGGAGTGTAATATTTGTTTTAATTTTTCAGTACAAAATGTAAATAGTTCAACCTTCAGCTTAAAAAATAAATCAAAAATACAATGCAGATTTCGTGATGGATAAATCCAAATCATATTTCAAAAAGTTCTTTATTCTTACAAAATCAATTTTAAAACGATTGAATGGGAAACAAAATATTGTATTATTATATAGGTATCTTAAATATGTATATGTTATAATATTGTTGCATTATTATTTGAAAAGTTTGGAAATCTGAAAGTTGAACTGGAGATTTATATTGCGACCTTTTAAACGACAAGCGTCATTACAGTTTTTGAACAGAATTAATTTTCAAGTCCAATACTAATATAGAAAACAGGATGTGAATTGTACGCATACTATATTATAACATAAAATACCTACCTACTGTATGTAAGAGTATAGGTACTGTCAAGTATAATGACGGGATGTCAAGATACTATATTATGCGCCAGTCGATAATGACATGGAAAAAAGTGTATTATAATAGCGATAAAAATAAAAATATTCAAATGTCCTGATGTAATTCAAATCATTTTACTCTTAGCGTTTACGACCGGCCATACTCGGTAATATATTGTTGTGTGTATATCGTATACAGACCCACGGGGTCTTGGAAAACAAAAGCCCGGCGTACAGAATGCGAAAACCATTTTACATTCGTCGGAAGGATATAATATAATATATATATATATATACGAGTGAGAATTGACGAGTGTCGTCGAGGAGTTAAATTGTTAAATCGCTGGTGTGCGCGAGTGTTGCGTAATGGTCGATTACTTTAGAAAGGCGCGGGGGAGGAAAGGAATGAACGTGTAATTGTTTCTGTTCGTCGAAAAGGTTGATAAAAAAAAACGAAAAAACTAGAAAAAATGCTCAGAAAAAAACGTGTGTGCGTGCGTTTGCGACAGAGAAGAGAGAGAGAGAGAGAGAGAGAGAGAGAGAGAGAGAGATAAAGAGAGAAGGAGAGAGGTAAACGTATAAGCGTTCCGTACACATATTATACATGTAAGAAAAGCGAAAAAGAGAAAGAGAGCTAGATTCGATCCAATCGTGATTCCGTTAGCGTTTTGTCTATTTCGTTATTCTTTTATTTCGCTCGTTTATATATATGTGTAAGTGTGTGTACTTAGTTCGTTCGGGGTTTTTTTTTTGGGTCGTTTGTTTTCCGACTGGAGTGGATGTTGCACGAGACTATATAAATATATATATATATATACATATACTTGCGTCGTCTGGGCATCCCACCTCTGCCTCACACCCGCTCACGATGCCCACCAATTCCGTCGGCCGTATAATGTCATTAGGTATGCAATAGCAGTTGCAAGGGACGAGAAAAGAAAACCTCCCCGAATGATCGTAAGAAGGTGATGACTTGTTCGCGGGATGTCTTTTGCACGGTGTCTCCCGAACCGAACGAAATAGGGGATGCGTGGATCGGGTGGACCGGGGAGGGGTAGAACACGATTGTACGCTAAACTTATGTAAATTAGTGAGCACTCGACGGCGTGTATATACAATCGAGGCGAAGAGCTTCTTGTCGTACAGTCGGTGCGGCCGAATCGTTAGCTTTTTATTCACCGTTTCGTTTTTGCATGTACTCTACATGCTATGACTACAGCCATGACTTTCCGTTTAATAGGATTTTTTTCACCCTCCCCGCTCCCTATACACTTTGTTCTATATAACAATAATACGCGCACCCGTAAAAGGAACTTTTCAATTTTTTTTTATTTTTTTTTTTTTGTATTGTTTTGCTCACGAATTTTCTCATCTCCGAACCATAGCTACGGTCGAGTGTTTTGAATCGGACCACCAACAAACTGCAATCGTACTTATACTCCAGGCCATTGCATATTATATTGTACGACGTTAGGATAAAGTATAACGTAATATAGCCACAAAGTTAATACGCAGTACAGTTTTCGTTTAAAACCGTATGAATAGTAATATTATTTTACAAGTGATACACGAAACGCCGATTCATAAGTATTATATTATAATATTATTATAAAATATCAGACGACAGGTAGGTATTGAAATATATCATAATCTCAACATTAATACTATTGTCACGTTTGAATCTGAATCCTATCGGTGTTGGGTTATTGAAGTTGTTGTGGTTCTTTATTCGGCAGATTACTATATTAGTTTTGTATTTTCTTTCAAGTCAAAAACCAAAATAGGTATACTATGATATGATAAGTATAATTGTTTTTTTCCTATATTTTTGAGGTTAAAAAAGTGTTTTTTTTTTATAATATGTTATACACCAAGTTAAATTAAAATTAAAACGAACAATATATTTTTGAAGTAAAATTACAAAATAAAGTATAAAAATATTTTTTCCTGTATCAATAGTGATTGACGGTAAAATATTTTTCTGTTAGTATTAATGGCAAAGACCAGAACAAATTTTTAAAAGCAATATTTATAGTTAAAGCGGCTTTTACTTTTATTGTTTGTTTTTTAAGTAGAAAAAAGCCGAATTTACCTGTTAAAAACTTGAATTAATTCCAATCTAAATACATAAAAACGTTTTATTTAAATATTTATACCTGTTTTTTTTCTAGATAGTTTCCCAGAGGATAAAACTTTTAAAAGTTTATTTAGTCAACTTTTTTAAACTCGTTTTATTACAGTTCAAGGGTTTTATAATATCGTTTTTATTTCTGAAACGTTCCACTCAAAAACACAAGAAATTCAAACCGGTAATAATAATAGTGTAATAAGAATTATATTGGTGTGCACGTTGTTCGCATTTTGTCCAGCTGTAACAGCCATATCTTCTCGGTTCTCAACCTGCGGCTTGCTAAACTTTTTTATGTCGCTCAAAAAAACTTAAGTTCAAATTATATCTACTTATTTATTATTTACTCTAAATATAAGCAATAAATCATAACATATTGTATTTTTTTTTGTTTATTTTTATCCCACGAGAATCATCTATCGATATAAGGTTCGTTTATTAATAAAGTAAACATATATTTATGCCTCAAGCAAAAACATTATGGTTTATTATGTCTGTTACAAAAAACAATTTTGAAAACATTTGACTCGATAAATAGGCTTCAGTTATACACAATCCTTTATCTGTTTGGTGGTTTTTGTTTATTAGTTTATGAATGAAAATATGCGAAATGGTGAGATAGCAGTAAATACACATATTTTTTTCTATTACAATATTAATTATAAATAGTAAACCATGACTGGCAGTTTATGGAAAATTATTCAAAAGAAATTAAAACAAAATATTAGATAGTTTAAATTTAAAACGTGATATATTTGCACTTTAAACAAGGCATGACTAAATCAGCTTCAAAATATTCAAGAAAGTTTATCATAATCAACTTGAAGACACGTTTGAATAACGATGAAGTATGGTCTAAAGGATTCAGAGTACACTTAAATCAAAGGCGGTAACCGATAAAAGTACCAAATGAATATGATATTATATCCAGTAGAGAAAACGTTAACTATAAATGAAAAATGTCGAAATTAATAACATTATATTATTAATATTTAAATTATATTTCGTATTGTAGGAATATAGTGTATATTATAATATATATAAATTACATATAACTGTGTAGGTAAAATTTTAAAACTTTATAGTCGCCGTGGTTCGTAACGTTTTAAATAATTCGGAATAAAAATATCATTAGTATTTTTTTAAGGATGTTAGCACTGGCAAAAGGACTTGTGCCCGGATGCATTTATGTGTCACATATATTGACTATGCACACGGACATTATTCTGATACTATTAATTAGTAATGACGTTAAAAAAGTTTCATTATTACAATGATTGTCACTTGACAGAGTTCTATATAATTCTGTATCTAATTTACTTCGCTTTTTTTTTTTTATATTTTGAAATTTTGAAATTTCATCAAGCGATAGACGTTGGTTATATTAAGCGTATATTAACGACTCAGTATAACTTTTGGTCGACAGGAATACGATGGGTGACAGGAACGGTGCAAAGTTCGGCTCGGAACTGCATCACAATCAGGACGACGCCCGAGTGCAGTTCACGGACAACCGTAGCGCAACAGGCGTCAGTGGCGGCGACACCGTGGCATCCGCGAGCTGTTGCGACAACCGTCTCCCGGCCACAGCGGCCAGTATTGTGGCCGCCATCCTGGCCGTAGCCATAGCGTGGACGTTGTTGTACGTGAACGTATCGCCGGAGCTGATGGCCTTACCCGGCGGCAGTCTGGCATCCATATTCGTGTTGTACGTGACCGGAACGGTGGCCGGTCAGCTCATCACCAAGGTGGGCGGTCTGCCTCCGCTGCTTGGCATGATGTTGGCCGGCATCGCTCTCCAGAATTCCGGTCTATACAATGTCACTGGTTGGTGTTTCCATTTGGTGTCCACCATGAGGTGAGCCGCCTCGCGTTGAATGACAAACGCCGAAATTGTATGAATAGAATTTTAAATTTTCAGGGAGATACCTATTTGCATCGCACCCCTGAAAATAATAATTGACGAATTGAGATTTTACATCGATGGTGGCTAATAAGCCAAACATCTTACGTCTGTATATGTGTCATATAATCGTTGTGTCGGATAAATTTTTATTTACTCAACCCATTATTTCAACCCCTATAGGTTGCTATAGGGTGGCTTACACAGGTTGGTTTATGAAAATCGAATATTTTTTATTCGCGTATAGAGTAGGTATTGCGTAAGTTACAGAAATAAAAGAAACTTTATAGTTTTATGTAACCGATTTATATAAACATGAAAGATATTTTATTAAAGTTAGGTAATTTAAATCACGTTTGCAAATATTACAATTATTGGCAAGACGTGTTATATGCCTATATCCAATTCAAATTAGCTCATTTCCGACGTACACCGACGCCATTTATAGCACCGTATTTTATATTTTTTCCTGGTCAAAGTCGTGTTTTACAGGTGTGCCACGGAAATAGGGACAAAAATAGACGGGTTTTTCTCAGCGTTGAATGTGAGTAGAAAGATAATGTTATTTCGTTGTCACTATGGAGTATGGGGCAGTGGAGTGTAGTTCACCGTGTGTTTGCGTACGACTCGCTTGTGAAAAATAATGAATCGGTAGTTAAGATGCAGCGCTCATTCAGACGGTAAGACTCCGTATTCTCGGGAGTTCTTAAAGTACGTTTGGGACCATTTGGTTTTTTTTTATTTACTGTCCCCGTTCGAAAACTATCCACCCACCTCATAATTGTTTTCCCATTGAGAGCAGCACCGCGACGTCCGAGGTTGAAGTGAAATCTGAATGAGCGCTGCACCTTTTCTACTAATTCATTATTTTTCACAAACGCGTCGTACTCAAACACACGGTTAACTACACTCCACTGCTCCATAGTGACAAGAGAAATGGCATTATCTGACGGATCGAATGAGCTTATAGACCTTCCTACTCACATTCAACGTTGAGAAAAACCCGTCTATTTTTGTCCCTATTCCCGTGGCCCACTCTGTACAGCTAGTACTATATAAATAACTATCTATAAATATTGAGTAGGTACATTAAGTACAACTTATTTTCTGTAGATCTCGTAAGAACTGAATGAAGTTAAATTATACTGTACATCTCGGAGAGCTTGGAAGGACTGACCTTCTAGCTTCACAGTTACATAGAAATAAACTACAACTGACTGTTTGGTGTTTTGCAGAGAAGCAGCGCTCACTGTGATATTGGTCAAAGGTGGCCTGGAGTTGAACGCCGGCCAATTGCGCCGGCTCAGCGGTGTCGTGGCCAGGCTCACGGTGTTGCCATGTGTGGCCGAAGCCGTGGCCGCGGGTGTTGCCGCATATTTCATTTTGCCCGATTTCTCATTGGTGTGGGGCCTGACGCTCGGGTGAGTACCTATTTTAGTAGAATATTATAATCGTAATAAGGTAAGCTGATTCCTTCCTGGTTTGATTTCTGGCCCTCTAAACACTCTTTTATAGAATCAGATATGAACTTTAGGGTTCTCATCCGTAGCACATCACGAAATACTGATTTATTTCGTGACCCATCATCATTATCATCATCCGATTTGCTTAAATTGTCCCTCTTATTTGTCTTATGCGGTTTGTTAATCAGAACCCTAAATTTGACTATTGAACTGTTTTTAATTTCTAACGTTTCAATTTTATTCAGTTTGTTTTTTCTTCCCTTTAATTTATTAGAGTGTTGTTGAAAAACATGTTCTTAAATATGTATTTTTTGTTAAAAACGGATATTTGACTGTTATATTATACTAATATACCTACCTACTTAATTAACTTAATTAATATTTGTAATTTTACTTTGTGTCTAGGTTTGAGTCGGTTAAACATTAAAATAAATAAATTTTATATTCTATTTCCAATTTAGAAAGGTAGGTACTAAATAAAACTTCTAGTTATTTTTATGTCCTCCAAAATGTGTTGACCGGACAGATTTTATTTGTGCTATTTTCACTTAAAATGTTCCTACCTATATCTATTTATAGGTTTACTTTATCAGCCGTCAGTCCAGCAGTATTAGTTCCAAGTCTGTTCCGGCTAAAACGCTTAGGGTACGGCGAAGAAAAAGGTATTAACACACTGTTGATTGCTGCTTCAAGTTTGGACGACGCTGTATCCATCAGCGCTTTTGGTATTTTATTAGGTGTCCTATTTTCAAACGGTATGTATACCTTGAATTAATATATTTTTTTTACAATGTTATTTTTACAATACATTCACCACTTAATAATGTCATTTGGAGTAGTATATTATCGATGTACTAAAAAAGTCTGGTTTTTATTTTAAAATTTTAATTTCTCAATGTAAATATCCATATAATATTTAATTTATCTTTGTGTTCTATAGTCAAATTAATTTTTAATGTTTAGGGTTTCGATTTTTTAGTTGTTTCTTAATATGGACGTGCGCTTAAACTTACATTTTTTAAAAGTTTCATATTGGTGTAAAATAATGAAATAATGAATACAATTTTGACTATAATTTAAGTAATTTTTGTGTGATTAATAGGTAGCTTGACCAGTAAAATAATACAAGGACCAATTGACGTGACAATTGGAACCATGTTGGGACTTATATGGGGTTGTATTTTGATTTTTGTGCCTCCATCACCATGGGCCATGATATACAATAAACGAGAAAACCAAGTTCAAAATACCAACAAATCAGAAGTAAATTTTTTGTTCAGGAATCAAAATTGTTGACCTCGTCAATCAAAATATGTATACCGAAAATATATCAGATATCAGATTTATTTAGTAATAACATTTTCTTAGAAACATTTTAGGTACGTGTGTGAAGTTTCAAACTCCCACCAATATGGTAAAATCTTCCCTAATCGATTTTTATAGTTATAGCCTTTATTTAATAGTAAGTAATAATTGTAAGTCCATTCTTGGAATCTGTAAGGATTTTTAATCTATATAAACTGTGAGGACTAATTTAGAGGAGTAGAAGGTGAGTGCTGTTCTGTTGGACTATATAAGGTGGAATTCCAAATTCTGAGAAAGAATTTACAATTAGGTACTTTCAATAATTAATAGGCTGTAACTTACATTTTATTTATGGAGAAAGAAGAGGAAATTCAAACACGTGTGATGTTTTCGTAATTCTGCTTTAGACATCATAATTTTATATAATGTGCAATTTTTTTAATTTTGTTGATCATTCTTCACTCATTTCCGAGTACTTACGTGCCTATATGATTCAATATATTAACATTAAAATTATAATCGATATGCGTAATGCATAGGTATATTAGGTAATCGGTGCGGTTCCTAACCTGTGTTTTTGTTACCGGAACATATAGATAGAAAATTCCGTGACGGCCAAAAGGTCGTTTCTACTGGGCGCGGGTGGGTTCTTGGCCGTTACCGGAAGTCAGTGGTGTGGATATCCGGGAGCAGGGCCGCTGGCGTGCATCATTTCGGCGTTCGTGGCGGGCACCGGTTGGAGGAAACGGTCAGCGGAGCATAAACGAAACAACCCGGTGATCTCGACCGACGAAATCGACCGAGGAGATGGCGAGGAAATCGAGGAGGACGATGAGCTTGCAGTGGTGCAGGTGTTCGAACACGCCTGGACGTGTCTGCAGCCTGTGCTGTTCGCGTTCATAGGCACCGACCTCAAGTTCGAACTACTGAAACGTGGCGACATGATTTTCCTCGGGCTGATCGTACTCGCTTTCGGACTCGTGGTATGTGACGTGTGTGCGTCAAATATTGAAATTTTTTTTTTTACCCGATGGTTTTTTCTGTATTAACGGTACGTACAGTAGTTTGAAATGCATTTTGTCACAAGTCAAGATAACTAATTTTTTTTATACAAAAAAGCACAAGGCGTTTAATTTAATATAATAAAAATATTTTTACTAAATTTTCATTTTTGTTTTAAATACGTATATTATTTATTTATTTATTTATTATTTATTTATTAACGGGCTGATCCCTATACAACAGCTTAAAACATAAAATCATATACAATTTAAATCATTTATACAAATAACGCACATACATTTATACAAGATAATAATTGTAATAATAATATAAGTATAATAATAGTATATAATAAAATATAGCAGAAGTATAGAAACACCTAATTTTAATTTTATCAGTTTTGATAAATGGTGCCCTCATTGGCCAACTGTATCATGGTGTCTAAGGGATTATTTCTGCCATAACTGGTAGTGTGCTCAGGGAATATGAAAGGAACATGGTGTCTAGTAGTGCGAAAAGGAACTTTGACATTGACCAACAAAAGAAGTGAGGGAGCATCAAAACGACAGTCCACCAGTTTTTTCAAAAACTCTAGATTACGTTAACTCGACTGTCGGCCAGTGAGATGAGACTATATTATCTATCATATATGAATGCGTTATATGTCTCATAAGACATTAAGATGTATAAACAAATTAATTTTTAAAAAAGGATTCAAAAAACACTTACACGGTCTAGACCTATATACATGTATAATAAAAATAAATAAAAAAAACAATTTAAATTAACTGAATAAAAATAATAATAATTTTATATGGTTTTTTGCGCCTTCTGGAAATCAATGAAAATGTAATAGTGAATTTAGCCTTGTATTTAGCTTTGTATTTAGCCTTTTATGTAAAAACACTAAAAATCCATTCATTATTCAACAATATGATCTTAAACCTAATGGTGTCATATAGGTACCTAAAAACTATAATGTAAAAAATATCACATATTATCTTAATAATACGTATCTATATATACGTATCTATAAATACTTACATTCATAACTCTGCTCAGAATCTAAAATATATCTCAATATTATACTTTGTGTAAGTATACAATGATAGTGTATGTATTATCATTTTTAGATTCGTCTGATGGTCACCACGTGTGCCGTGGTCGGTTCAGGTTTCAGTCGTAAGGAAATACTATTCATTAATATCGCTTGGCTTCCAAAGGCTACAGTACAGGTAAAGTATATTATTTTTTTAAATTTATATACGCCCGAAAATGTGGCACAATATATTATATACAATATACATATATTGTACAATATTCAATATAGTTATCTCATGGAAATCCAAAAATCTAAATACACGGCTATATTATTATGTAAATTAAGAACATCATAAAAAAGACGAATCATCGTAAACTAAATCAAAATGATTTATTGAATTACTTGTAATAAACATTCTGTTAATCGGAGTGAATAAACTATAGTTTTATCGATTGGTATACAAGTGTAAAACGTTTGTGACAACCAAGTATCAACATGAGAACAACATTAAAAGATAAAATAAATCTTAGTATATTTGATTTGAAAATTAAATAATTTATAAACACATCATTAAATCTTCTTATTGAAAGCTATTTAAAAATATATAATATTTATGGAGACGTTGCTCTGTCGAATTACCAGGGGTATCGATCTAATCCTACTATTTTATTATCGCTTTGAATAATTAAAGGTTGGTACGTCCAATATTCCATTTAGTCGTTATCGCCTTATCGGTCACTGACATTTGTGTTTTCTGGAAAATATTAATTTGTGGTATTGCCATAGTGACTTAAAAATTTCCTGAAATACTACGGCAACAGATGATTAGACATATTAGTATAGAAATCCGATTTTCATTTGTAGTAATTATTTTTATATTTAATAAAATATGGTTGATTATTATGTTTTTTTTTTATGTTGTAGGCTGCTTTGGCACCAGTGGCTTTGGATATCGCAAGGAATTTGGGAACAGCAGCAGATATCGAATGTGCAACTAGATTGGTAACAATAGCTGTGATATCCATTTTGTTGACGGCACCCGTAGGTGCATTTGGCATACAGTTATTTGGTCCCAGACTGTTGCCCAGAACCAGATAACTATAATAATTTCTTAAACCACCAAGTTAAACATCAACTAAATAGTACCGCAGAGTATTCAATAATAATACAATACTTAATAATATGAAATTGTATTTTCTGTAATAAACCAAGACTGTTCCCCAAACAAGTTAATTACAGCAACACACTAAACTCATAAGTTTCGTTTGTTTGTTTCAATTTATATCACATTAAGCACCATTATATTCAATTATATTCAACTAATATGCAACGTTAAATAATATATAATATATCCAATTGAAGATCAATTCGAACACCATTATTATACTGTTTATAAAAGTTAAACTTTTTGAAGGAAAAAAAGGTGAATTTTGATTTTATTTTTGTATAAAGATAAAACGAAAATAAATCATAGATCTATGTATTAAAATTTAAAAGTCATTAGGTACTGAAACTAATTTGTGTAAGAAATGTTCTATTTTATTTTATATATAAGTTATAAATATCGGTAATTTAAAATCTGAATTATGTGATAGGTAATCTATTTTAAACTTCATTTATAAAATTACTTTTTAAATTTTAATATTTTCATAATTAGATAATAATGCAATACATCAGTATTTTATCAAAGTATTAAATATTAATTATATAATAATAAAGAAATTTTTTTTTTTGTTATTTTTTATTTTGGATAATAAGTTATAATAACTAATAACTATCCACAAATTGAACTCATATTAAAATGTTTAAATTTACTAATATTTGCTAACTATTTTCTAACTTTTGGTATCGGTTTGGAGCGTACCATATTATGTGGATGGGTTGAGTTCATGGACGTGGGTTAAAATGTACATTATACACAGCCATCACCGTCACCCCACTTTGAAAGGTTGATATCTCGGGAACGGCGAAAGCAGAGCACAAACAAACACAAACGAATGGTTAATTTTGAATTTTAAAATGTTCTGGTGGGGGTGCCAGGGAAGCAGAGCTAGTTTCAAACAAAAAACTATAAATATAATTACCAAAAATATTGATTCAAAAATTTACTTGTAATAGGTACAGTCCAAAATTGATCTTCTGTTTAAACATTGCCTAATAAATATTAATATAATTTAATAAAAACTTGACAAGAATAAAATGCTTATCAACACTGCGTTTTCTAGTAGGTTTAAATTTTCAAACATTGGTAAAATAATCGTGAACTATGATGAAAAAATTATATAATGAGTATAATAGAGAAATAGAGAATACATAATTAACTGTCCATGATGTTCCTATCATTTCATTATCAAAAAATGCTATTTTCAAAGCTCACAAAAATAACGAGACGTAAATGATGTCTATATTATGTAACATTGTTCTTATCTATCCGAGTGATAGGTATGCCATAAATAAGAAGCTGCAGATTAATTAAACATGAAATATAGTAACAAACTGATTGATTTATAGATTAGATTACTTAAAGAGTTTTTTTCCATGTGAGTAAAAAAATTTGAATATTTAATACAAGTTCCCCAGGTTGTTCTGGTGATGATTAAAAAATATCGAAAATACAGTCAGTATTTTTTTATAAGAGTTTAAAGATCAAATTCTTAAAAAAATGTTAAAATTACTAATATGTTCAGATTATTTTGTAATTTATTATCTATATCTATATATACAAAAATGGAGACAAAAAATTCGAAATTGCATCAGTTGAGAACGGCTGGGCCGATTTTGCTCAAATTTTTTTTAAGATGTTCGTAATTGCCAGGTGAAGGTTTTTACGAAAGAAAATTTTTAAAAAGTCTACCGAATAATTAGAAAAACTGCAAAAACTATTTATTGATGTCTGGGATTTGAACTCGATACCGTTGTCTTTATTTACTCTATGGTGTATTATATTATATTGGTTGCTATTGGTTAATCGGGCATGTTTGTTGATTTGTATTATTATTGTTTGTAAATATATCTTATATATAAATGAATGACGGTGTGTAGATTAGACCCTATGGGAAGAAGATACGTTAATTTAAAAAGGGTTAAATTTGGTTTTTTTATTCATCGGATTTTAGTACGGTTATGTTAGGTTAGGATTTATAGGTGGGTGTAATTAAGTAAAAACGTCAAACTTGGTATAACTTTGGTACTTTTTGAGTTATATCATACACTTACGTACAAACAGCACGGGGTCCGCGATCTACCGCAGGTAAATTACCTATCTGATAATGTACTGCTGCAATTCAGAATTTTTATTCCGGGCAACAGAAAAGTTAAGATAAATCTAGAACATCATGCACCGAATATTAAATAACGCATTGAACAATGTTTGAGTCATATAGAGTTGGTATATTTAACGAGAAACGAAGTGCACGGGATCAGCTAGTTATATATAAAACTGAAATCAAGCAAAAGAGGAAATCTTTGTTACGGTTTGGCTTCGAAATTTCTTATCCAATTGTCATGCAGTTTTTTTTTTAATGAAAGAGGATATCACTGAGTAGGTTTTAGGCATAAATAAAGTCCGATAATGTTAGTTATCTATACATATAAAATCCAAATACCACTGACTCACTGATCGCTGTATCTCAAAAACTACTCAACGTACGGACTTGAAATTTGAAATAGAGGTTCTTCTCATATTTTCACCGTGCAATAAGAAAGGATTTGCCAAAATTCGCATTTTAAATAGGTGCTCAAACAGGGACATTGAGATTCACGATGGAAATTGGAAATTTTATTTTTATTTATTAATAGTTGCAATTGGTTACAGTCTACAGTAGAAATTAGCATTTATTTATTGGTTGCCATTGGTTATTCGGGCAGATCAGGTACAAGCTTGCATCAAACCGAATTATTGAACATTGCCTACCAGGGTGGTGTTGTGTTAAGGTAACACTGTAATACTGTAGTTGCACTTACCGCAGCAAGTTACACCCAAAAGGAGTTCAACAATCATAATTTTTTTAAGAGTTGCGATTTTTTACGAGCAACCAAATTTGTTATATTAATCCACCGTATTATATCAAAATAAACTTGGTATAACTTTGATACTTTAGAGTTAAATCATACACTTCCGTACAAACAGCACGGGATCCGAGATCTTAGATTGCCTACCTGATAATGTACTGCTGCGATTCAGAATTTTTATTCCAGGCAACGGAAAAAATAAAATAAATTTTGAACACCATACACCGAATATTGAATAACGAATTGAACAAAGTTTGAGTCATATTGAGTTGATATACATTTAACGGACGACGAAGTGCACGGGATCAGCTAGTAAATTTATAAATATGAAATTTGAATATGTAAAGCTTGAAAATTGAATGTTAAATTTCCCATAAGTCATTCTAACATCAATCTGAAAATATTTAAAAACACATTTGCACAATTTTCTTTTGCAGACATTTGAAATCTAAATTTAAACAAAATTGAATATTTAAACCAAGAATAATATTTTTTTTATTATTTTGTTGAAATATAAAAATATAAAAAAATTTTAATATTTAACTCACTAATAATATTACTCTAAAACAATATGCATATATATTAAAACAATAATAAATAAAGATATAAACACAAATTTGAAATACTTATCTTAAGTTTGTTTCAGTGAATAAAACAGTACTATAATAATGACATTATCGGCAACGTGTAAAATACCAATAAAAATAGGCTAATAGCACTTACCTGAAATGTTTTTTTTAGAAACGAATATGTATAATTCATCATGATGTCCGATAACAAAATATTTCCAAATTCATATAATTAATATAGTTTTTGTTACAATCATATTGCAACATGTATGCACCATTACATTATAGAACGTTTTCATTCTAAATTAAATTTACTATTTTTAGATAGTACCTTTTTTTCTGAATTGGGTATTTAGCTTGAAAAAGTTGTAACTAACCACAGATATAAAATACTAGATAGCTAACTTGTCTAAATTAGGGTAATCGATGTTGAAGTCAGCCACCATATGCGTGTGGGTCAATGTTTACATAACTATCTTATCAATACTGTATGATAACATGATATTATTCGCACAGAATAAATTTTTTTATAAAATATTAAAAAAATATAAAAAATATATACTTCTATTGCAATTGTTTTTAATGAAAACACATAATATTATCCTTATTCAATTTTTTCATCGTCAGATATTAAAGTATTTTGACCATCAGATTGTTATCATGTCGTATTGATAAGACAATTATGTAAACATTGACCTACACGCATATGGCGGATAACTTCAATGTATAATAATAGCCTTGTTAGCTATCTAGTATTTTATATCTGTGTAACTAACACAGTAACACTATAGGTTTAATTTCCTAAATAACGATTTTCGATGATATATACCTTTTCATTCCCATTATTTTCTTTATTAAAGTACCCACAAAAATAATTTTTAACTTAAAATGTGCTCCTTGAAAATAATAATAATTCATTTTAATTTTTAACATGTTCAGTATAAAAATTAAATTTCGAAAAAATTTGTATTTAGAGCAATTTTTATTTTTATTGTAAGCCAACGCCCACCGTGTATATTTTAACTGAGGATTAAACCCTAATAATAATTATTATTAACCAAAATAAATAATAATAATATAATGGTTATGATTATAATATTGTTATTACCTGTCTATTCGATATTTTTATGACCCACACAATATTATGGTAGGCTACGAAATATTAATTTAATTTCACTGGGAATTTGTTTTTTCTGATTGGAACCTGTGGATACAAAATGGTTGAAATTGGTATTTCACTACGTTGTATGTACCATCTATATAATATTAGGTAGGTACCATAAAATATAAATAAATTTAATATCATATAATACTAGGTATGATAAATTAAAGATAAATTTGCTAACTAACTGTATCTGCAATAAAGGAATTAAAAATACGTTTTATTAACTTTATCAGCCTAATTATGGTATATTGTACATATAGTACCTATATAGACTAACAATTTATATAGCTTAATATATAACTTAACAAAACACTACAAGCACGTGAAATGTAATTATATATTGGTAAAAACGT